CACGGAGCCGAAACAAAAACACTGTCGTGTGCGTCTCCGCTGTGTTGTTTGTTTGACAGATGTCGTGTGTTTGTTGTGTGTCGCGTTTGTTTGCATACAAATTCTTCAGAAGACATTCGGAGACGCCGCCATATCCGCCACCGCCTTCGCCTCCGCTTCTGCCTCAGTGAGAACCTGGCACATCCGCATTTGTTTGCAGAGGCAGAAGACCCAGTCGCAGCCCCATCTCCATCTCCATCTCCAGCCTCTGCCGAAGAAGAGGCGGCAACAGGCAAGTGCCACAGGGAAGGAGTTGTCTCTCAGGTCGGGTCTCTCAATGTGTTACGTGCCACCTTGGCTGTGCACACGCAGACTCCCGCAAAAACTCGCATATAAATCAGCGCCACATTTGCTCTTGCCCCACATCCATATTCGCCCAGACCCTGGCTCTCTCCACGCTTCCCTGCCGTCTGTAAACATATCGTTATTTATCCATTTACCCATTGAATGTGACAGACGGGGGCGGGGAGGGGTTCATCGCAACAATATGTTGGTTTTCCTGCCAGTACGGGATGCAAGTTAATAGGAGTACATGATGCGGTTGCGGTTGACACAGCTCTCCTGGATGCACAATAAAATGCTGGGGCCCCAAGCATCGAGTACGGCTAAAAGTCAATAAATCTAGCAAAATTCTAAAAACTTTGTTTAATTGAGGAGCGCGTTATGTGGAGTGTATGTTGAAAAGTCGAAGGGTTAGAATAAAGGCTCCAAAGCATTAAAATACCCCTGATAACTGTGGGTTATGTAGAGAATTTTCTAAAAAAAAAATACATGATAATGACCGAGTTATCCAATCATAAACACTGTCCGAATGAGTCACCACCAAAATCATCAGAAGATACATCCTACAAACAGATAGAGAGACGAAAAAAATCGGCCATGCTCCGGTTTTCGCAAATCGAGAAAATTTGCGAATTTACTGTCAAATCGCAAATTGTGTGCTCCGGTTTTTTTAAATAAAAAGTTTGTATGCGCGGGAATAAATAATTATATAATTAGGCATTTATTTTCGTAAAAATATATATATTTTATACTTTTTTTTCTAGTCACAGCTCAAATTTTACAGCACCCAAATGGTGAATTTCCGATGGCTTCCAGATATTGTCTGTTCGTTGTTTCACGACTGCCTTAACGAGTGCTGGAGTCGAAGTGCGGAACCCCTTGAAAACCCATCACCCACATTAAACCAAAACCTTTCAATTTCCAAAAGAAAATAGCTCTTTTTATCGAGTGAAACCACATCGAAAGCACAAAGTTGCGAAAACCAGAGCATGGCTGAAGGGATCTGTATGTAAAATACCGGAGAGGACATAGATATTCCCCTCTGTGCTTGGCAATAGTTTGTCCTCAATTTACTTAACTAAAAGAAGACTCTATATACAAAAACTAAGTCCTAACTTTGGCAATTTGCTTAATAGATATTTGGTACACTGCCAGTTTCCACTATACAGATTTTTCAAATACTCGTAACAAGAGTAATCCTAAGATCGTATGTTTTTCTCAAAGAAGTTCCATTCACACTTATCCTGCATTTCCACTTGATGACATCTGTTTCCTTACCTTCCAAGCTTCATCTCGCACACGTCCCCGTCCCCGTCCCCATCCTCCCAGCACGCGTTGACAGTCCCCACTCAACCCCATGAACCTTTCCCGGCACGCACCATTCTCGAATAGCTTCTGTGCTGCTCGACCTCAAGCGCCACCACTTTCCCAGAATTTTTCCGCTTACTCCATCTGAATATAAATCCAGTGTTTTGCTCACGTTTAGTCCTCACTGTCGCCCTCGCAATGGCTCTCATTATCAATGCTGGGGGGAGAGTGGGAAATATTTATTTTTATACACACATGATGAGCCCGATTTTCTTTTCATTTTCATTTTCGTAATAGCGCTCTGACAATTTTCCTGCGAACTAGCAACAATTTTTCATCGTCAGTCTACGGTCGGAGCACGGGGGCACCAGGAGGATGCAAGGATGCAAGAACGCAAGAATGAAAGGACCTTCTGCCGGGCTCGTGGCGAGGCATCTCCAGCGACTGACTGCAAGGATTTCACACACAACAAACGTAGGGCAGGAACTTAAGCAGGAAACCGGAAAAGCAACGTATCCAGCATCTCTTACTTTCGCCCTTTCCCCATTCCACATTCCCTATGCCCCACGCCCCATTCCCCATTCCCCGTTCCCCTCCTGGCTACGTGACGTCTTTCTCTCGAGACATCACAAGATTTATTTGGTTGCAAGTTATGGGTGTGTGTTCTTTTTGCTTGCCCCAATGTGGGTGTTGTTTGCACTTGTATCGGTGTAAATATGCAAATCGCTTTTTTGCTGCGCTGACGACTTTTTCACAGCAACGAATGTGCTTAAAATTTGTAAAATTGTAGTTCATTTTTATATTCTGTCGATTTTCCCTCTTCTACTTTTCTCCCTTAGCCCCCCTCCCCCCCTTTCACCTTGACAATTGTCCTGGGGCCATGTTTGTTTTATATATGCATATTTTGTAGCTCGGTACATTTGATTTTGGCTTCCCAGCATCCCACACGTATCCCTCGACCCCCACATTTAAGTATGTCTGTAGATGCAGCTTTTCCCCATTCGTATTGCATATTCCCTACTCCTTTTCTCGTATATTCTTGTTAACAGCAGCTTGAGAGCCGCTTAGTCTTGGTTTTTCTTTATGGCCGATGGACAATTTCGGGTTCGTAAAAAGGCTGTTAAAGCTGGAATTCTCTACCACCTAAGCCCCCTGTTTTAGTTTTCGATTTGAGAAAGATTCATACACTTTGAATGAAGCAATATTCCAGTGACTTTCTAGTTTGGTAGAATCTTGACTCACAAGCAGCTCCATAGACCCAAACGAGTTCAAAATAAACTCCCATTATATAAAATGGCTTGAGGGTATTCAAGCGTCAAGCAAACTCTTTTTAAAACTGCCTCTCGCATCCTTATTTTCAGATCCTTTGAATGGCATTCGGCCAGCCTCAGGTAAGTCTAATGCTAAGGCCTTTTTTCTCATTCTTTACGAATTAAACTTTTTATGGCAGTCCATTGCTCTGCAGCTTAATTGAAAATTAAAAAGGTAGACATAAAAAATTAAAATTAATTTCGTGCCGTTTGATCGGAATCACTTGGACCCTATTGTTGGTCTAAAAGGGGATCGGGGTGTGTTAACCCCTTCTCTAACGCCCTAATTTCGTGCAAACTCTTAAATTCCAAGCTAACATTTGGAAAGCGAAGGCATGCCCATAACGAAGTTTTCTCTGGTGGCGGGTTCTCTTAAAGTTAGTGCTGGAAAAGCGCTTAACGTGGTCATGAAATGGTGATAAAGAGACAGGGCCGAGCCACCCGGAGGGAGGCTGCCAAATGGCCAACGAAAATTGCAGCTGCCAAGCAAACACATGGAAAAACCGCAGCAGCCACTTCCGCGACTGCCAGTCCGAGAATCCCCAAAAGCCCACACTGGCCGCCCTCACTCCCCAGCAGCCTCATTTGGCGGCCTGTTGCGGTAAAGAGGAACGAAAAATAGCAATTCAAAGAGCTGGAGCCGTAAGCACCCAGATCTGTCCCATTGTTCTGAAACAAGATCATAGAAATATTTACAATTTAGATTAATTAAACAGTATATCATAACCAGACTATAAGTAATCGAAGTCTTTCTCTATCTGTTCTCTATTCACTTTATGTACTTATTAGTTTGGGAGGATTTGGAGGGTTCGCAACATCCCTATAGATCGGCTACCATCGATTTCAACAGATTCATTGTTGTTCTTGAATGATATACCCTGCTCATTGCCCATTGCAGGGTAGCAACACAACGGCAGAGTTGGAAAAAATGTTTAAACAGCTGAAACACAAGGGACAAAATGAACATATTCGAGGCAGGGCCGACAAGGTGGTCGCACCACAAAATCTGTCGCCTAAAACCAGCTTAGCAACTAAAGCGCTTCATAAATGTATCCTTTGGCCCGGAGCCCTGGCCCATAGGGGAGCTGCTGCCTTGCCACGAGTAGTGCTAGTTCTACCGGTAAACTGCAGCGACAAGTGTGCTCTGGTATAGGTATTTCCGAGGCACGCTTTGAGGCGCCTGCGGTTGTGTATTGGCAACGCCACGGGCAAAGTTTTGGCTTGCACTGGAATCCTGGCTTGGGGGGAAGGAAACAGACGTCGAATGTTTGGAGTACACAATGGAATTGCTCAAACAAAGACAGGCATGCTTCTTAGGCAGACTGTCTGATGATTCTTTGACAATTATAATTATTTATCAACTATATACCGGAGTCTGGCTGGAATGTAGTGCTATTAGCTAGTACAGCCAGAAATAGTTCGTTTAAGCCTGAATTTTTCTGGGGAATATAAGCCACAGAAGCGACATGGTGCCCTAGCCCTAGAGTGCCTTGAAAGCAATTTAAATAAATGGTTTTTCATTGAAAGTATTTTCTAATATTTCAATAAATATTGGGTTGTTTGGCCTGATCCCGGGCAAAATCCCCCTGCCAGTTCGAGGGACTCCTAGTTGCAGTCACAGCTTGTGACATTGCCAGTGTTGTTGCTAAGTTGTTAAATAAATCAAAATCAAAATCCAAATCGCACAGACCAGACCTAAAGTTCCCAGTCCTAAAGTTCTCAAGTCCTCAAGTCCTCAAACTTGCACGCCAAGTGCCAATTCCATGACGCTTCGAGTGTGCCGCAAGCCCGGGGTGGGAGAGAAAGAGGGGTCAGTGTGTGCAGCGAAAGAGACGGAGAGAGTGGTCGAGGGGGTGAGTGAGTGGGGGAGGCTACTGTTATTGATGTGCTTTTAATTGGGGCTCGTACGGGTACGGTTGTCTGCTCCGTGTTGCCGTCACATTTCAGTGTCTGCCCGTCTCAGGCTCCACTCGGCTGTGTCTCCACCCTGTCTCCTGTCTTCTTGTCAAATCATTTGACTCATAACGGAATTTTATTAGCTTTCCAGTATTCCACACTTACCGGTAGTCGACGTGTGTGCCATGCAAATGGTCAACACCAAAATGGCCAGGCTGATGGACCCGTAAATTCCAACGGCCGGCCCCCTCCAGGCCCGCCGTCGGCCCCGTCGCTGCTGGTTGTTATTGCATTTTTTCCCGGACATCTGTAGAGCTGCTCCCAAATCCTCCTGATGGGGGTCCCTGCAGAGCCTCAGCTGGGACAGCTCCGAATGTGTCATCGTTGGGTGCATATTTGTTGCTGCAATCGAAAAAGGAATTAAAAAATCAGTGCAAATCTTTCCGCATAAATAATTTATCCAAGTTTTATGGATTTTTCTTAATTTATGCCGGAGACTGCTGCAGCATCACAAAAAGTTTTAGCACTAAAAAAGTCAGCAAAAAAATTGCTTTAAAAAATTTCTGGCAAAAGTTCAGAACGAAAGGGAGTTCAAGGGTCAAGTCGAATGTTGCCAAAGTATTAATTGAAAAAAGTTCATTGGCAACCGATGGACAAGGGAAAACACCGACCCTTCCATGTATTTTTTCGATATTTTCAAGTTGTTTCTCCTGCGACAGCTATTGACAAAAACCGAAGGGAAATTCTCTCAATCCACATCTTAAAAATTACATTTTTATTCCTCCTAAATAGAGGTTCTGAATTCGGGAACAATTACGGGTAAAATAGTATTTATTTATTTTCTTAAATATCTTTAAATGGGTAAAGATATTGAATAAATTGCACTAAATCATGCACTTTTTTCCTCATTTTTATAAGCATGGAAATATGACCACGGCTGGCATTTCTTAAGATTGATGGCGTCAATACCAATCTAAATATATTCCACTAGTCCCGGACAAGTTTCCACTTGTCGTACAAAAAGTGCTATGAAACCAGCAGTCACGACAAATTATTTTATTTAAAGTCTACGTGTAAAACCAGGATGTACTCCGACGAATCGCAGGTGCATTTGACAAACATCACATTCGATTCATTCGAGTCAGAGGTAAACAAAAAAAATATTGGGCACCCGCCTTGTGTATTGTGCACGAGGATGAATGGAATTCGCATTGAATGCCAGAGACGGGATGCCAGAACAATGCAGAATGTTGTACCCTTTGGAGCAGATTAAATATTAATTAGTGTGGCGTGTGCATAAAAGTTAATTAATGTTTTTTACGCCTTTGGTGTCAATAATAAATGAACGTGAGTGGAATTTGATGCCATCTCCCTCGCCTGCTCTTTGCATCTGGCTGTCCGATATGCGGATAGTTAGGCAGATTGGGCACAATAATTAAATATTTAATCAGTTTGATGTTGAGTGATTGTAGTGCAGCAGAAAGGAGGGCTTGAAAGGATTCGATTGTTGCAGCTTTAAGAACAACATACTTGGGCCTCAAAGTATTTCGCAAAATTCATAAGAATCATATTTCCTTAGACTTTTAGCTCTTGAATTATTGCTTTGAGCTCGGTCCAGTGTCATTGCTTAGTTGAATATTTTCTCGGCATCAGAACAATTTTAGGTTTCCAAATTCGTTACTTTTAGGCATTCTACACGGTATTAATTTGTACAAAAAATATATTCCAGTCAATTTTTGGACTATTTGGTAGCAGGGAAATGTCTAGCAATTTTGGTGAATTATTGTGCTGCCTTGCTTCCTTGGAGCTAGCTGAATTAACCTTCTGTATCCTGAACAGGGCCAGGACCAGGCGCTTACATGCTGCCCAGCCAGTTCGACAAGGGGGCGGGCCGTGGGCCGCAGTACTCCTTCGGCCGTCGGACGGGAAAAAAAACAATCGACGAAGTCGGGCCTGGACCTGCCGCCTACAAGGTCGACAATGTCACTCGCCACGGCAGGTCGGATGGGCTGCAGTTTTCGATATTGCGGAGGAGACCCATAAAGCCCGCCAAAATAAGATACGATTTTGATTGAATCTGTACCATTTCGACTGCAATTAAAGCTAAACAAGCTGTCAACCAATATCAGGCTCATCTAGCCATTTACTTAATAATTAATGGCATGGCAACAGTGATTACCTGTACTTAGGTATTACCCTGGGGCCCCGCAATTAGTTCGATGAGATGACACACTCCGATGAGATGTATTAAATGCAAATCAGGGGGAGCGGAAAGCGGGAAGCGGGTATCCGAACAATTGAAGTGCAGGCCAGAGACAACAACTTGTTGAAGTAGAAAAGCCTTTCGCCCAGGACCCTCCACTCTGAAGGGTTTAAAGTGCACTCCAACTGTTTGGCTTTGTGAATGCGGCACTGGGCCTGAATGAGGTACGGATAAGGGAGGTAGGAGGCTTGAGTCTGGAGGCTGGTGACTGGAGTCTGGGGAATATAGGACTGTAATGAAGCCGCTGGGCAAGCTCTTAAGTAACTTACTCCTCCGCCGGCTCAGTGACTGACTGACTGGCCAATGTAGCCAGTGCCTGGACTCTAAGCGAAAGCCTGTTATTTTCCCCGCGTCTTGTAATAATCACACAGTAAACAGGCACCAGACAGAATACACGACCGGGACTGGGACTGGGACTGGACTTCATCGTGAGAATGCCCAGCAGAAAGCCAAAGAAAGGAAAGGGCTTTGGACTAACTGATGTGGTCGTTCCCCCATCCCGAACCAATCCCCGTCCCTGGCCGCAGTTGTAATTGCAACGTCAACGTAAATGCATGGAGCATGCCAGCAACTGAGGAATTTCACGGATGTGCGTGCATCTTGCAGATGCTCCTGCCGGGGACAGAGGGGAGGAGATGACCACGGCTGGATATCACGTATTCACACAGACATCCAGACTGGGACCCGACCCGCATTTGATTGCATTTTCGCCTGCATGATGGGGCACTGGACAAGGAGCTGAAGATGGCAGATTATAGCCAGCGTCCAACCCGCTCTTCCTTCAAATGATTTATCTGTGCGCGTTTATTTTAATGTTACGTTCCGGAATCTTTTCCCTTTTTTTTTGCCGGTGGGGCCTGCTCTTCTGGTCAGCTCTCAAGATATACTCTTCGGTGGTAGCATCAGGATAGGGTGGAAAGGTTTGTCAGTGAGAGTACGACATGGGGAGTAAGGGAAATCAGAATGAATGCTTAGAACAGAAGGATATTTTAACCCAGTCCTCTAGCGGGGAAAAGCCTCCTGCCGACCCACTATTTTTAGCCTGCTATGAGGCTATTAGATATCTATGGACGGACCTCCTACAGACACGTCTGCACACGAATCGGTATTGGGAATCGCGAAGAGCATCTAATCTTCGCTATAGCCGATCGAGTGCTGGCCCCTTGTTTGGTTTGGTTTGGTTAAGCAGCCTCTTTCAATGCACTGCCAAATGGCTGGATGTCTTTGTCTTTATGAAGCTGTAGGTTGCCAGCCTCACCTCCTTGTCAGCACCGTCATCTGCTGCAGCTGCAGCGAAGAAGGAGGATTCCTTGACGTGGTACGTTGACCGCCTGGAATGTTGATTCATCTTCTTTGGTATGACTGCTGGCAGTAGTTCTTGCTGGCCGGCCACTCTCTGTTTTTTCTACAAGTCCACTTGCTCTTTTATGTCAATCAGCAGTTTGGCATGCTGCAACGTGCATGCACCGTGCCGCATCGGGGCTGGCTGCTCCTCGTTTATGGGCCATCATTGCGAATGGTGGCTTCTATTTTTAGTGGGGAACAAGCCTCGCTTTCGCCCGCTCTATTCTATTCCTGACTCTCCCCGCATGTTAGATAAGTGTTCCTGTTCCTTTTCCGTACACCCCATAGCCCCATAACGAGCGAAAATTACCTTTAAGTGGCACAGGCTGGTGCTGGTAATGGCAATGCATTCTTCGTTATTTTTAGCACGATCTCTGCCCGTCGGGCTGCTAAGTGAGTGGCTGGAGGAGAACTTTGCAGGCCCAACTGATCGGCGTACTCGTGGGTAATTGTAGATGGGCATAGAACTTAATTGCATTTAAATGCCATCAGGTGTGGCTACACTCGAAACGTTGAATGGACTTTGGTCCCCAATGAGTGGGGGGATTCGAGCATCCCGAAACCCTTTTTTCTTCCCCACAACTTTCCCCGCATTTTCCAGAGTACCCGGGGGGCCTTTGGCCAATCAAGGAAACGAGGAAACATACATATATGTAATGTATGTATGTGGCTTGTTAGCAATATTAATTTGACAGCCGATGGCAGTTCATTTCCATGGATCGGGCACTCACGTACAGGCCTGTGATTGAAGGGTCATTACAGGGTTACATCGAAGGAAGTCCGGACAGGCGCCATAGAATGCTAGTTGGTGACCTCACACACTCGCAAATGTTTAGTTTTAATCATTACGCTTCCGATTTTAATTGAAAATACTAGAATCGGTGCTGAGTCGGTGTTGTGTCTAACCTCCCCTTGATTAGCCATAATCGACCCTGTTAGAGGGACGTGACTTGCTATCGTAAGCAGATACGAGTACACTTTCAAAGAAACCGCTGAAAATTAAGCTAAAACAATTTAATTGTTAGACCCCACTACTCCCATGGTTTAAACTCAAGACCAACCAAGTAATGAGCGTTGAGTGTGTTTGGGAACACGTTTTGTCGGGCACAATCTACGCAAAGAAATCATCCTTGTAAACCTGCTGTAAGACGTCCTATTGCCTCCCTCTGGTCAGCTTACCCTAAGCCAGCGCATCAAAACTTTTCAAGATTTTAAGACCCATTTAATGTGAGTCAAAAAGTCAATAAACCCCGCCACACATCCACAGCCACATCCACGTCCAGGTCCACGTCCCTGGGTTCTTTCCTGATGGTCGGCGGAACGGGAAAACAAAAGTGGAGCAACAAAAACCTGTCACGTACCACAAAAGTGCATTCACATTTTGAAAGCCAACGCAAGAAAGCGAACTTTCGGCGTTCCGTCGATACACGAGATACATTTCTATCTTAAAGCTGTACGAGAGTATCTTTGCCTTGCCTGGGCTGGAAGCTGGCAACTTTCGTTGTTGGCCAAAGACAAATTCAGTCAATTACTTCATTATGCGTTGAGGTTTTCGGGTTCGTCCGTACGGCTGTCTGGCTGTCTGCCTGTCTCCCTGTCTGGCTGTCTGCCTCTGTGGGTCCCTGCCGGTCTTTGGCCGGGTCTTCTTTTGGGTCCTTTCTCGTCGTATGTCTGCCTGCTGTCGACTGTCATCAGGTGAAAGGCAAATAAAACGTCAATTTGTATTGGCAGTCGTGTCCTTTTCCTGGTATTCATATGCACATTACATATTCCGAATTTATTCATGCCCTGGGCATAGCCTTTCTGTGTCAATAATCATTTACATGTTCATCTAATTTGGTCGGATTTTTTCCGTCTTCCTGGTGAGGAGGAACTTCTTGAACTTGAAGTGAAACCGAAAGACAAAAGATTCTCATTATTGCTGACGAATGTCTGAAACTTTCAGATGCTTTTGCACTGCGCTACTTTTGAGCTGCAAAAAGTAGCATTCAAATTTCCTTCCACTGCAAAACGAGTTGATGACCAAGCCACAAAAATGTACACTGCAAGTGGTAAAGCGAACCACAGTCGAAAACCCGAAAACAAAATCCACCGACCCAGTGCCAATGAATCGGATCGGATCGGGCCGGAGTGGAGTGGAGCGGAGTGGAGTGGAGCGGCAACTTTGTTGTTCCCGGCTGTCATCGACGTCACTGTCAGTGTTATGGCTGCAATTATTGCTGTTTCTGTATGCGAATTTTCATTTGAACACCACAGACGCCACAGCCACAGCCACAGAATGTTTTCTGAAACGATTCTTGGATTTTATTTTATTTATGGGATTTTTTTTCTATATTAACAGAGTTGGGGGGAAATGGCATAGACATGTTGTACAAATATTGTACACGGATAAATTCGAAATTCGAGCTCCAATTGGGTCAAAATGTTGCCTCCCTATCAAGCATGGGCTACAGTCTATGATAATGATGAAAGTCGTTTAAAAGAGCATATAGGCATGACCTAAGAAAGAGAATACTAAGCTGGGAGCATGCCTGCTTGTAGCCTATTCCAGGCAGAGAATGGACCATATCCGACCCCCAAAAGAAACATATTTTATTGGTAATCCGATCATGTCTTGTATGCTTTTACGCAAACTAGTCCCTGGAATACTTCTTTCAAATAAAGATTGATATTTATTTCAAAAACTTCGACCTCCGAGGCCAGAGCAGCTTTCTTGTTGACTCCATAGGTGGAAGTGGAAGCAAGTGACATATTATCTAACTCAACCATTACAAAATTTGTCATCTAGTGTTCTGTGTGCTGTCGGATGCTCCTTATCTGCTGTCAATAACTCTATCACTATCTCCGAGTGTGTGTCTGTCTGTCTCGGGGCCGTCTCGGGCACTCAACACTTTGCTCAAAATGTTTGCTCTGCATTTCTCTCCGCAGCCTCATTGCTCCACGCGGGACTGCCCAATTTAAGGGGTTACCCCCCCATTCGAGGGTCGGTGGGCGGGCTGGTTAAACGCCTGCGAATTTGCGCTGATTTGACACAAAAATTTGACGTAAAGTAGATGGTGCTGCCAGGGACTTCGAGGCGGTCCCTGGCTCAAAATGCAAATGTTGCATGAATGTTTACTTGCCGCCCTTCCGGGAAAGGTTTCTGTTTACGCTTGTTTTGTTATAACTACAATTTCGGGACGACGAAGGGATGGTCCGACTTGAAAGTTTTCCTGCTCCTGCTCCTGCTCCTGCCCGTGCTCGTGCTGCCTTGTTATAAATTTTGTATCCATCCGATACTTACAACAATTTTGTGGCACTTTGCCTACATGTGGGTGGCATGGCAACAAAGGCAGAGGAAAGAACACCGAAAATCAACAACTTGTAATGCAGAGAATTTACTTTGGGCCAAGTTCCTGCCGGGGAAACTTTACTGCAAGTAATGATTGTCAGGAGAATGTTTCGGGCCCGAATCGGGGTTGAAAGAAAGTTTGAAGAAAGACAGCGATAATTTGTTGATAGTGAATAGGGTAATCTATGGCTGGCTTCCTCCACCTCCAAAGCCCTTGAAACGATCTTTTCCCCTCCGAAACGCTGCCCGTCCGGCCCCAGTCTGGTTGCTCAGACCTGGGAGCACTTTATGTGATGGATTTCCTTTATCTTCGTTTTCAATTGCGAGTAAAATGTCAGGCCGACATTGATCCGCGAAAATGTCACGCCTGGGCACTAATTGAACATTTAACTTTATGGCAGATCATTAAACTAAAGTATGTTTTGCAAAACAGAAATACAAACGTGAAGCCAAGACGAAACTAGTCTCCCAAAACGGCAAGGTATTATTTACATTTTTATGGCCCGGGTGATTAATGCATGAGACCAATGCTGCGCGAGTATGGCAGAAAAACCCGAAACCTAGGGTGGAGGAGTATGAGTCAAGGCAGGGCGTGGCAGGCCCAGCTCCATCGATCGATATTCAATATCATTTTGAAACGAGGCCGCAGCCCGCGAAATATTTTTACACACGTTTCGGCATTACTGAGGGCCAATAATTTGATAGTAAATATTTTGTATTTTGTATTTCTAAAAGCAAATTAATTAGACCACGTACGTGTCCCGGGCGACGAAGGCTGCTGGGCGCCATTTGTCGTATTATTTCAGCGGAATTTTCAATACAGCCACAATGGCGCCATCACTGCCGTGCAATTAGTGGCTCAATTTGATTTCGACCAAAGTCGGGCCGGGCCGGGCCGGGACGGACTCCGGAACGAGATGATCTAAGCTGGCGAAATTCCACAGCCACTTCTTCGTGAATTTTCGCTGATTTATTATGATGTTAGTTTCAATATGCAGAAATATGGAAACAAGTTTTGGCAAAAGACAGGAACAATGGTCGGTCGGTCGGTCGGTCGGTCGGTCGGTCGGTCGGTCGGTCGGTCGGTCGGTCGGTCGGTCGGTCGGTCGGTCGGTCGGTCGGTCGGTCGGGCGACTTGTTAGATCATTTATTTTGATCGTATTTGTTTTTATGTTATTACAAACTCAAGGTAGGAGATGACGGAATGTTGTCTCCCGCTCTCTCACTCTCTCTCCTTACAAAGACTTCCAGATGGCCGGAAGTCTGGAGATTTAAGTCATCTCAAAACCAAATAAGCAAACAATCTGAAAACTCCATATACTCGTATGAATAGTAGGACATAAAATGAGAACAATTCGCTAATTTCATTATATATCGATGCAAGGAATTTAATGGTTTTTATTACCAACTTTAATGCAATTATTGTCTGATTGAATCACACTTAATAACTCGAACAAACGAAGAAATTAAATGTATCCGCGGGACAGTTTTGGCCGGCTCATCATCGGTGTTTATTTTCCATTCATTAAAAGTTTTGCACTCGTATTTACCTTATATTTGGGGCCCGCTGTTGACTCTGTGACTGTCCATCGACCGGGAAATATATCGTACTTTTGTTGTGTGTTAAGCAAACAGAAATACATAAAAATAAAATTCAGGGGAATCGAACCGTTGGGAATTTTTCAGAGCCACAAATGACGTACGTAAAAAATTTCATAAAGCCCGCGTTTCCTGGTAACCAAAATGCATCAAATTAATTGATTTAATATTTAGTAAGCCGAAAAACATTTCGGATTCAATTAGCTCTCTTTCCCGTTTTTATTATGCGAATACAACTCGTTCACTTTGATTTAATGAATGTTTTACGAGTACGAGTGGGTTGTGTCTTCATTTAGAAGATCAGTTTTAGCCACGGTCTGGTCTTTGCACATCCCAAAGTGTGGATACATACTCGTAAGTGGTTTGGGCTCCTGAACGATCGCTGTTTTGACATGCGGACCAGTATCTGCTCTGCATCGCAATTTGTGCAAAAAACTATGGGCGAGTCTTCGCACTCTTCGCTTTGGGCCTTCGGTCGCGAATTTAAATTCAAAACATTTGGCGTTTCATTCATAAAAATTCAAAAATATTTTGTTTGCCATATCCCAGATGTACGGGTAAATGGCTGGTCTATGGTCTGTTGGTCTGCACTACTTTAAATGGGTCCACGTGCCGGGTTTGTGGGCGAGGCGGCGAGAGACTCGGCGGGGGCTGCCGGCCACTTCGCCACGGTCTCTCCTATCCCCAACCTATCCGGTAACGAGCGTGGTTAAAATGCGTTGAGTGATTTTTTGCATTCTGCCACTTTTTTGTGGATTGCGGCCCACTGTCTTCGGGGCGTTCTTCGAGGCTAGGAACCCACAGGAAGTTTCATGGCTGGAGGAAGAGAGTGAAGACTGCTGCTACGAACTTGAGTCCTCTCTCCAATCGATCGCTACGACCCACTTTCGGTGTACTCGACCTAAAGATGCCTTTACCTCCCACCTCTTTTCATTTTTGCAAGCCACTTTCAGCACGTGAAAGATATGTATGAGAAGTATCGCCGGACTATCATCCACACGCGACATGGGTAGGGCGTGTGGCCTAATCTCACGTAACAGAAATCATTTTATATTAATTCTTGGCTACAGCAGAGTGAGATACTCGTACGGTCGACACAAAAGATTTTTCAGGCATTTAGCCGCCAGATTTCTAATAATTCGTATATAAGTAGGTAGTATATGCACACAACTCACTTCAATGGCCATTCCTAACCTTGAACCTGAGACATTAGTGAGACAGAGTTAATAATTTACTTTAAATAATTGCTGGCCATAACAAGCAGCTTACTCCGAGGCGCCCGACCGACAAAAAGACGCCAAAATATTGTCTATAAGCGGCAAGAATCGGCTCTTGATTGAGGGAGAATCCCCAGAGCAAACAGAAATTAAGGAACCGCATTTCCACACAATATCCACGGAATTAACACGCTTGTTGAGAGCCACAAAAGCTGTCAAAAAAGTTCACAAGCCACGGCAAAATAGGCAGACACGCGGGGCTTTCCATTTGTTTGTTTTTGATTTGGTTGTTGTGGTCGGATGATGGCCATTGGGGCGAGTGTTGAGCATTCATGAAAAGGCCTGCAACAAGCAGGCCAAACGCCAGACGGCGGCAGCATCAAGTGGGGAAAATTTGTGACAAGTAGCAATGAACCTTAAAAGGTCTTGGCTGCTGCCGTACAGTACCAAGTATTATCTCATCCATCTGCCACAGACACACACACACATCCCCGACAATAGTAATCATAGCCAAGTCTCATTAATTGTTGATACATTTCAAACAGCTTTATCGCTGAGATCAGCACTCAACACTCGTTGACAGCCGAAATGAAGACAATGTCTCGAACAAAGAGAAACAAAATTAGATAATAATTGAGTTGTCTTTCAAGTACTACAGGTAACTGAACTGAAAGGTGAACGAATATCTATGGATATCTATAAGTCATTGAGAAATAAACCCCTTAATCCGCATTGCCCCGAAGTAATTCAGGGGAACTGCGGGGAAACATGCGAGAAAGAGTACATGTTTCACGGAATATCGATGATCAATTCACGATTTTCACATGCCGAACACTTGAACAAATTTTGTCAATAAACATAAGTTTTCTAGCTATTACTACTTCAAATACTTCCCGGCTCTATTAAACCTATTAAACCCTTGACATTGATAGTACATTAATCTGAAAAGCATGGGAACAGATCTCGATCTTAGGGATCTCTTGTAATAAATACAAGCCTAATTTCCTTAGAACGGAGCTGCGATCTGCTTTCGGATCATAGGAAATGGATCTATAGTACTGCAACTCCACAGACCTGTCTTCCCCTTTCCTGGGGCCTGGGAATACATTAATGGATATTGGATCTCTTGTAATAAATTCAAGCCTAATTTTCTTAGAACGGAGCTGCGGTCTTCTTTCGGATCATAGGAAATGGATCTATAGTACTGCAACTCAACAGACCTGTCCTCCCCTTTCCTGGCCTTTCTTGTACCATCGATGAAATCATGCGAGCTGCACTCAATTTGCCATATTTATCGCCTGTAAATATTTAAGCGCATTTCCTCCGTTTCTTAGGGCCAGCCCCTCCCTCCCCAGCCCGCCCAAACAACAGCCCATTTCTTGTTCAATAATTTCACTCTTGGCAACCGAAATCAACAACTTTTGCATTAGTTTCGTTTTTGTTGTTCGAATTTGTTACAAGTGTCGCCCTGTTTGTTGTAACTAACACACCGACAGACACTGGCACTTACGTTTGGAGCCGACAAAGTTTTTCGCGCTTTTTGGCTGCGGAGGCCCGGAGAAATATTTTGTGATTATCGCTGAACCGCGGCTGTGCCGCTGCCGCTGTTGGGCCGCCGTCGTTGGGGATTTGTCGGTTTTTTGCCTCGCTTTTGGCTTTGCCCACGTTTCTTGCGTTTTATTTGCGCTTCTGCGTTGTCTTTTAGTGCTTTTCCAATTTCTTATTCACTTCATGTCTGCGCCTCGCGCACCGTCGCCGTCACACACACGCCACCACTCTGGAGCCCCGTTCAGCATAGGCAGTACGCACTGTATGTGAGCCCCTCTTCTGTCGCCGTTTTAGTTGCTGTTCAGCCGCGACGTCAACGTTGCGCGCTCAAATCTCGCTACTAACTAAATAAACGAATCGAAGCGACCCAGCGCTGCGCTGCGCTGCTGCCGCTGCTGCTACTGCCGCTGCTGCTGCTGCTGTCCGTAACCATGCTCGCTCGCTCAGTCGCTTATACAGTGAGTCGATGGAGTGTAGGCACACCCTGATGTTCAAGGTTCGCCAACGTCGGCTCGAGACACCGATCACACTGATTTCTGATCATTTTAGGATGTACCGATGAGAATTATTTATATAAGACAACACATACTCGTAAGAGATAAAAACTACACTTTTTTATTCCAGATCGTAACGTTTTTTGATAGGTTCAGTCTGCTTTGTGTGTTGGTTAGAGTGTGCCTTTACTTTTTTGATCTACTGTACACACATGCGGCCGCACTGCATGTGTGCCTCAGCGTCGAATGGCAAAGCAAGTCCCAAGATGGGCTTGAGCAATGATGCCGACCTGGCTCTTTTAAAGCCAACTGCTGCAGGCTTGAAGCACTTTAAGCAGCGGCTGTTGAGAGTCGAACCAAGGGAAATATAATAAAGCCTCGGCTCATAGCCACAGTTGGCCCCACGTGCTTGCGCCGGCTACGTCCGACCACTCTCCCAAGATCTGCTTAGCGATGTTTATTCGAAAGTAGTAGCTATTTGCTAAGCTAAAGTCAGCTAACGGGTGGCCCATCATTACCCTTAGGTTTTGCCACCTCTTCCCTAAACCATTTCCTCTCATCTGTTATATTTAGTCTTGGCTTGTACAATATTGTCCTGCGTTGGAATATTAAAAATTCCATTTTTCAGGTTCGTTTGAAGCACCTTTGCAGGCCTTGTTTTTGTGTGTCAGCGGCTAGACCGGCTGCTGCGTCGATGGGGACGGGCCGGGCCGGGCCGCCTGTTGAGCGTGCCGCCGATGACGTCTAATTTTTCCCGAACTCGTTTGCTTACTCACACACGGAATTATGTCAGGAATGCTGGTCGGACGGGGCTGTCGGAACGGCGGTTGTCTGCTGCGTTGAAAGTCGGCTGATTAATTTTGATTTCGAGCGTGGGGCATGCCAGGCAAAAGCCGGTTAGCATTTCGGGGGCATGAGGATTGGGGCGCGTGCCAACGTCTTCGTTTGCCGCTGGTCTGGCCGACTCCGAAGACGTTTCAAGTTCATGGAGGGAACTACATTCCAGCAGTTAGTTAGTCGGGGCTTATCCCGAAGACCCTTTGGCGACTGACTCACTCCGACCACAAAAACGCGGTTCCGACTAAAAGATCAGGTGATTCGAGTTGGTATCGGCAATAAAGGCGATAAGCCATTGACATCGGTTTATGGCGGTTTCCGCCGCGTTTAACACTCGTTTTTCTGTTGGTAACAGCGATTTCAGGCATTTCAGCGCCGTCAGCATGTCATTCGCACTGATTTCAATTGAAACCCACAAGAACAGCAATACGTACGAGCATGTATCCCATTCCACGAATTTCCACGGAATTTGCAGAAGTCGCGGCGAATGCCGATAAGGCAGAAGACTGCAAGAGGTCAGTGATACTCGAATACTATTCCGACTGCCTGACCAGAAATGCTTTTGGTGTATTATTTCACTGTCCAGGAAATACAGTGAAAGCTCTTTCGGGGGACGGGTTTGTTGTCCTTAACTACAATCGTTGCTCAGTTAAGATTCCTGCTCTGCAGTCTTATATCTTATATCAAGAAGGAACTGCAATATATATTCCAGTTGATTATCTGTTAAGATATACTCCAGCATGTATTCAATAATAGTATAGAAAAATATAAAGAAATTTCAAGTTTATATTTCTTCCTTCTGGGGTGCTAAGCTTCCGGCTTCCGTAGAACTGAAAGATCTAACGAACCCTCCGCACATTGAGTAACTTTCTTAAAAAGGATTAAGATGGGTCGTATTTCTATCTCGTTTAAACTCAAAGATTCTAAACCATGGGACTTTTGATCCCCATTTCCTAAGCGATATCTCTCAGCTTCCTGTATTTCTGCTATTGACAGATGTCAAACCCTGAAATATGAGCGCGGCCGAGTTGATTGAAAGAGATACTCGTGCTATATCGTAAAAAAAGGTAGAAAAAAATGTCAATCAGAAGTCAAACCACGACTCACACCACAGCACAAATTTCCGTTAAAAAAAAAGTATAACGAAAAGCGAAATTCGAAATGAAACAAGAACGCTAGAGTCGCGTGTTTCGACGACCAAGTACCCCCCAGTCCGAGCACCCTTTAGGCATGGGCGTTGGGACTCGCCGCGATAGCTACATGCCCATACACCCGTTTATTACCCTGCAAAACAGAAGCCAAGCGAGCGCCTCAATTCAATTTTAGCATTGAAACCAGATACGAGTGTAGAAGAGAGACGCTAGATGGGTTGGCGGTGAACCCCTCGACCAAAGTCAGAATGGAGATGTTTAGAATTTCGCATAAGGTACAAGCACAAATCTGTTAACGCTTTGAAACCGCAGACAGCCACCGGAATGTTGGCGCAGCCCCAACCAGCGCTCCAGCCTGCGGATGCGGATGCGGATGCACAGGGGTCTGAAGTATCTTTGTACTTCACGGAAACTACAAGCGAGTGCCTTAGAGACTTTTAGATTCAGAATTTTCTTAACCTATTCACACACTTGTATTAAAATTACTGCTGTGTTGAGTCTAAAGTTATTGATAATTCCCAGATAATCGCAAAGAATGCGAACTCTTTTCCATTTTACCAACTCCTTTATAAGTGGTCCATTACGAAAGCAGAACAGAGGTTTCTTTGGTAAAAAAAACGGACTGCTAACCAGAATACTTTCCATCTATCTATCGTAACCACAGTTCTTGGCAGTTCTGAATTGCTCTAAAACAGTCGGACTATTTTATGTGGGTATGGATATATCAATTAAACTCGTGAGGAATATATTTTCAAATATCCAATCAAAATAAATATAAAATATATACCTTCCCTATTTTAAACCACTGTGCCATGTAAAGTGTAATGCAAATCGCGGAAGGAAAATTTATAGGATTCGGCTTTGAGTTTTTTCCCGTTCTATTCCCTATTATTAAACAGAACGAGTCGCGGAAAGGAAACTCAGAGGTAAAGGCCATGAAAGGAAATCGGTGTTTATTCTATAGATTGCATTTTCTGCACAATTTACCATTTTACCAACCTGTATCGATGGGACCGTACCCCTCCTCCCTTCGCCCAATCTAAGCCGCTTAGGCCAGTGCCTTTCTTTGACAGAAGCTTTGATGGAAAAATTGGAAATTGCAACGGACTAATCCCCGTGCCGGACATTTTTCATAAACGCTTTGTGGGTTTTCTTTTAAAGGAGTGATTTATTTGAAATATATTTTAACATTTAGAGCTTTGAATTTTGATTTCTGTTTTGGTTTGTACAGTAGAATCGAGTTAATAAAATTAAACTTTGGTTAATTAATAGTTATTGTACGTACAAGTAATGAAAGAAGCGACAACATTCAATTGCAGTTAATATTCAAAGGAAACAATAGGTGGATACTGGTATTTGCTTGGTGTTTCGATTATTAGTTTCCCTAGGGCTGCGAGGCCATCCGTATCCTCGCCGTGGCCCTCGACTTGGTGTGAATCTCAGCCGTTCTCAGGGTTATGCCGAAGATGTCCTCGTGGTAGCGACTCTCGTCCTGCAAGGCACAAAAAAAGAAACACACTTGTAGCTGTCAAATGCCGCCCGGCGGAGGAATCTTCTCCGCAAAGTGTCAGCCGATGGCAGCACCCGGAAGCCTTCAAGGATACTTACGCGCAGTGTGAGCATAAAAGTCTCGACTTCCGCCTCGGATTTCTGCTCCTTGCCGGCAATGCACTTCCTGCGAAAGGGAGAAAGGAACGAAATCAGATAGGGAAGACCGTACGACCAGGAGAAGAACTCCCGCCCTGGTGGCGCTTTAATATCAATAACCGTACAGGAAATTCCATAATTTTTCCAGGCTTTACGGCCTCGTTTTGTCTCCCATTTGTTTCGTTTGAAATCGTAGTTCTCGGAAAAGTATGTAAATCGATAATCAGGGTCTTGTAATTAGCAAAACACATCCGCTTAGGGTCGGCTCCTGCTTCGGTTCTTATTAGCCTAAGCCGCTTAATATTATCCCCCCATTGAAATCCCCCCCCTCAAGAACAGTTATTATGCAATATCCTGTGTGTGTGGGGACAAAGACAGCCAGCCCGTATTCCACAATGAGGCACGTAATCAAGAGCTTTGAAAAATGCGAGGCAGAGAAAAGAAATATAAAAGCCAAGCAAAGGCAAAATACCTGACCGCAGAGCATTAGAAAACAGAAAATTCCCAGAAGAGATAGTGTGAAGAGTGGGGAATGGGGGAACGGGGGCAATGGCAAGCCATGGGCAGCCACGCCCACTGTTTCCCCCAGCACACAAAGGCAATCAAACTAAGGGAAAAACCCTACCTGATGGTCTGGTACACATGCTCGGCCATGGTGACATCGCCGCAGACGTAGATGTGGCCCCGCTCCTGCACAATCAAGTCGTACAACGAATCGAATTCCTGTTCAATCAGGTCCTGCACATATGTCTGAAATGCACAAACAAATCATTTGTTTAGTTGGGGCGAAGCGGGTGGAGGTCATTGGAAAGTTTGTCCATCGGCAGGGGGGCGGAATTCGAATAAAGTTTAAAATTGCTTCCGCACAAAGCTCACCTTGGGGATGGTCGGCTCCCTGGAGAGAGCCAGGAAAACACGATCCAGTATTTGCTCCTTCACCAGCCGCTCCTTCTCCTCCGCATACAGGTCCACATCCCGGTTGCGACAGCCGAAAAAGAGCCACATCTTGGGCAGCGCGACAGCCGGATCGAGTTCGCGCAGCAGCTGGAACTCCTGCCAGAAGGAGCGGAACGGAGCGATGCCCGTGCCGGGTCCGATCAGGACAATGGGGCAAGTGCGCTCGACGGGCAGATGGAAGCCCAGAGCACTGCGCACGAACATGACCAGCTCGTCGTCCGCCTGCAGGCCCGACA